GGCAGGATTCAGCCCCTAGTCTAAGAGTTCTCTCACAGCATCATTATAAATTTTGCAGGAGAAACAACACAAACCTTGTGGTTGTCAGGATCAATAATTTATATTTTTGGGGCACCACCTCCTCGGCCCCGCTTCCTCAATCCCAAAGTCCCCAGCAATCTTAGCTCAGAAGGGAACGTGACTCAGGCCTTCAACTGAAGGGCTATCATCTACAAACCCTGAAGACTGGATGTAGCCGTGGTTTTATCACTGGCCACCAGCTGCCTCCAGAGCTCTTGCCTCCTCCCCAGTGATTCAGCAAATCTTCTTCCAGGAGAAAAACAAGCAAGCAAGTGAACAAATCACAATGTCAAATTACAGAGATGAGCGGGGAGAAACTGCGGCTCAAAGGAGGGAGATAAAAGCTGATGAAGTCACCCCATCCGAGGGCTGAAGGGCCTGACAAAGACTTGTTTTAGGAGGAAGGGCAATAATAATGTGAAAAATAAGGCTGTAATTTGGAGTCTTTACACCATGAAACATTGCTAACAATAAAAGAGAACACAACCTGGAAGGAAACGAAGCCTATTCTGCCCTCCGCTACCTGGGCATTGCACAGGGCGGATAGGGATTTTTACGGGTGTAGCTGAGCTGAATAGTCCATTCTGGTTTACACTGGAACACAGTTGCACCAAGCAAACTACTTCCAGAAGGAGTTTCTGCTCTCCATAACCGAGATTTTCAATAGTTTGGAAGCCCATTATCAGGCATTTTGAACATCGCTGTTCCTGAAAGAGGTTCTGTGTCCTTTGGCATCTAAGGCATGACAGAGAGCAGTTAGAAATAACATTTTAACTTCTGATGGTTTTGGCCACTGTATCATATTTATATATTATAGCCCTTCTCCATAAACTTTTTGTTTCCTGCTATGCCTGAGGTGGAACACAATATCAGCTTAACAGCTCATGGTACATGGTCTATAGAATAGAAAGTAAAGAAGAAGCTTCAGCCAGACTTCAGCTAGGACAAAGTATTTCCCCTAATGGCATTCAGCCCAGACACTTCAGTCAGAGCCCAGTCTTCCGAAAACGCCATGAAATCCTAACAAAGAGTGTTTGCAATTTATGGAGAACTCATGTCATGTTTGCGGAATCTCTCAGCCCAGTGGGTCCTCTGATATCTGTGAGACAGAGATACAGCCTTCCACTAGATTAAACACAACACAAAAAATAAGCACAAAAGGAAGAGCTCAGAAACTGTGCGTACACACATCGTGTATGGATAAATTGAAGCTGACTTTAGTCTCGTATTGCTTTTACATTCTTCCTGATTTACCTCACTAACCAGCACAGAGATCAATGTTTTGACACTAAATTACAGCTAAGCAGGACTGACTTACCTTGCTGTGGGTTTGTATATTCTCTGTGAACATTTATGTATTCACCTCACCAACAACTTACAGCTCACAAAACCTCCTTGCCCCCTCTCCGAGGGAGCAGGGGTTCGGTGTACGTACTTACTGCGCCGACTGCTCTTTGCTAGCAAACACAAAGGAAGCAACCACAGCACAAACCAGAGGACCCCCTCACAAGCTCAGCCAGGGCCATCTAAACCATGTGTGAATGATGCCAGGGCGGTCTCCTTTTAAAGCATTTCCCTATGCAGTGCTGGCACCTGCTCTCACAGGTTTGGGGGTTTCCTCTCAAGTCTAACAATAATCAGGTGTGCTCTTAGAGCTCGAGTGGCAGAGCCAAGGGAATTACAGTTTTTAAGCTGAAAATGCGGTACTGCTGCACCCTACAGGCTGAAAATAGCGAATATATAATTCCTGGTTTTTAATCACGATTTCTAAGCCAGGCTCATCGCTTTGGGGAGGGAGGTTGGCTCATGGCTCCTGGGTATTTGGGGCTGGCGGTTCTGCTTCAGCCCCATCCCAGAGGTCTCACGGAATGAACGCACCCATTGCCCTCCCTGCTGGGACGAGCAGGAGGAACAGCAGCGGCTGTAACACTGAGACACAAACACCCCCCCCCCAGACACACCAAAAACCCTGCCTGAAGGACTCTACAGCAGTGGGGCGAGCGGGGCTCAGCTGTGCTGGAGCTGTCCCGCAGGCCCTGGCCGTGCGCAGGGTATCCTCAGGAAAGGGGGAGCTCAGGGATGGCGGGAAGTTGGTTGCGTGGGGTGGAGATGGGATGGAGACCTTCACGTGTTTAAACTGCTGCCCTGTTCTGTTTAATCCCTCTTGATTTGGCACAACAGAGGCAGGCATGCTTGAGAAACTGCCTGGCAGCAGACACCTCAGCAAAAGTCCACTGGAGGACTTGCCGAGTGAGGGGAGCTGGTGAAGACGACTGCCTCCCCCAGCACGCTCCGCACAGCGTGGGATGCAGTGAGCCGGGCTGGCTGCCTGCTTCCCGGGGGCTGGCGGCGACGCGCCAGAAGAACAATCTGTGAGATCTCCCACAAGAAACATCTTTCATTTTCTCACTGTAGTCCTTCATCGGCACGTTAAAAAAAAAAAAAAAGAAAAGACTTCAACTGCATTTCCATCTTGCCTTGTCCCTGCACCCTACTGAGCTGCAGTAACTACAGCAGAGCAAGCGCAGAGGGTGAAGCCTTTTGTGCTGCAAACACATTGCATACAAGTCAGTAGCCACCTGCCTGAAGGTTTTCTCTCAGATAGTACAGGGGACCTCTGTCATTGTGCAACTGGCTGTAGCTTTGCAGGGTTTGTTTTTAAATTCACGTTTTCTTTCCTCAGTGGTGTCCCAAGAGTCTCGTATGGTACCAGTGTGTGATTCCAAAATCCATAGGGAGGAGGGGCCGAAGGTAAACCAGCACATTGCTCACATGGCTGAGTCCCTTCTCTTCTGAAATCTGGAGCGCAAACTTCCATTTTCACGTGGTCCCGTGAAGGCCCCGAGTCCGTGTGTGCCACAGGCAGAAAGCAAACCCGGTCCTTTCCGCCTTTCTTAGGGAGGGATACAACAATCCCCAGGTGTCTGGTGAGAACCTGATTGGCCTCAGCAGGGCCCGTCGCCCGCACAACACTATCTTTGTGAACTTTGGTGATGAAGAAATCCCAACTAAACCCCTGGATGCTGCCGTACAGACCTGGAAGAAAGTGTGCACCAATCCTGTGGATAAAAAGGTGGAGGAAGAGCTGAGAAAGGTACGTGCCTTATTCCTGAGCTGGGCTGAGCACTATAGTGTGGCACGCAGACCTCGCCGAAAATTGTTGTGGTTGTAACTATTGCTGGCTTCTCTGAAGGTTTTGTGATTGTGTTTCCTGTTTAACCTTGTTAAGAGTGATATGGGCCTGCGTAATTAGGCCAGGAACCCAAACCCAGGCCTTTGGTTTCCACTCCAGTTTGATATCAGCTGTCCTTTGTGCCCTTAGCAAAATACATATTTGTTTTTTCTGTTCTCTAATCTATCAAACGAGAAGGGCTGTACTGGCATATTCTGCTAGGGATTAAGGAATATTTGGTGTCCCAAACAGCTGCAGCTCCCCTTGAAATGATGGATGGGACAAAAATTTACCAAGGTATGACAATGTCACGTCAGGAAAGTGAGTGAGCGGCACATACCTGAAATGCCACCAGGGCTCTGAAATTGTCTTCCTTAGAGTTGCCCGTGTTCTGAAAATGAATTTGCAATTTGTCTTCTGCAGAGCTCTCCAGCCCCTTTGGAGAGTAGACTGGCTGCTGGACAGACGCTGTCTGTTTTTTGGAGGATAACAATGGGCAAATCCGAAGTCCGACTGATATAACAAGTCTCAGTAGACACCACTGAGACCACTGTGTTCAGTTCCATGCTTGTTTCTGCTTTACTTTAGCTCTTTGAAGTCCGTCCTGTCTGGTCTCGGCATGCAGTAAAAGCCAATGTCCACCCGGACAAGCTGAAACTTCTGTTGCTGTGTTTGGCCTATTACATGGTAAGGCTGCACATCTGCCCTTGTGCCTGTCTAAGGCTGTTAAGAGGCAGAGCCAGGGAGCATCAGCTGGGCGTTCCTGGTTCTCTACATCTTGTCTACATCTTGTGCAGGATGCTAGGCCTCAGACCCTGGGACATAGGGTTCCCATGCTCTGATTTTGCAGAGGGCAAGTTGAGCGAAAGGACTTTCTGAGGTCATCTAAGTCATTACCATCACATCGCACCTCCCTCCTTGCAGGTTAAAGGGTTTTGTTGATCTGATAGCTCTCCTCGCCCCACCTTGCTAAAGTCACCATACCCAAGGATCAGCCAGCCTTCACACACCAGTCCAGCACCTCTGTTTCTGAGCTAGGGATATTCTGCAGGGTGCTTGCCCTCAGTTCATTTTTGGTTTTCTTTTTTCACCTCTAGGTTACGCCCCTAATGATATGCCCGTGAAAGCAAAACGCAGCACATATAACTACAGTCTGCCCATCACTGTCAAGAAGCCAGGTATGCTGTGCCAGCAGAAGGGCTTTCTTTGGTTAAACAAGCAGTGAAGATGGCAAAGAGGAGCTCGCTTATGAGTCTGGAGAGGATGAGGATGAGGAGGAGGAGGAGGAGGAAGAGGACTTCAAGCTTTCTGATGGGAGTGAAAATGAAGACATTCTGGACTATGTGTGAACTCGGTGAACAGTCTGGCTGCTGCTGGACAGAATCGTCTCTGCTCTTGTTCCTTGAGTGCTGAGGGTTCAGCCACCATGCCCAGGATGTGGGAAAGCAGAACTCAATATGATTTCAGCCTCCTGCACTTGTGTGAAGCTTCTCAAGGCTTCAGCATTTTTTATGTTCTCTGGAGTTTTGTTAGGCTGAGATATTTCCTTAGGTTTGGCCTCCAGCCCACAAAAGCAACATCTGCAGGGCTCTCACACAGTGCCGCCAGTCTACCTCAGCCATGGTTTGGCCTCAGTCTACTGAAGGACAAGTGCGTAGAGGCCCCCCTGGTTTACCTTAGAGCCAAGACGGGTCATGGCATTGACACACAGCTGCACTCCTAGCTATATATATGTACACCTCCATTTGAGGACTGTCTCAGGTGTGCGCTCACCATGGCTCGCTGGGAGATCCTGTGCTTTGCCTTGTGCTCCTACCTCGGGGTAACATGGGCTGCAACCGTAAGTACCAAGGCATTTCTTACGGCTTTGCAAGACATTTTGCCTGTTCCTGTCTGATTGAGCAAACTCCTGCTACATCTGGTCTGGAGCCCATGAAAGAGGGCCTGCAGACCGTGACAGCCAAGGCAGGGTGTTTTCCTGCCCTAAACACGGCAAAGGCTCTCACCAACATTTTTCCAACAGTTCCTGCACAGTTCTTTGTCAGGTCTGGCCTGGTTTACATCTTAAGGCTGAAGGTCCTCACCTTCTGCCATTTATCTTTGGGAGTGCAGGGGAATTGCTGCTGCCTGTCTGCTCCAAAGGGCAGCCTGGAGGGCATGTGCACGGGCACATCTCCAGCAGCAGCTACCTGTGGGCTTTCCACAAGTGTCCAAAGGGGTGGCTGGGGAAGGTGGGCTGTGAGTGGGTCCATCTGGGGGACTGGGCAGGGCAAGGTGTGGGTGCTGGCAACAGGGGAAGCCAGAAGCATGAAGGACTGTGCAATGGATTTTCTCTTCTCAATGGTACCACATGTAGCTGGGTGTGGTGCACACCGAGGGCGGTTTTGTGGAAGGCGAGAGTAAAAAACTGGGACTCTTTGGGGACTACATCGACATCTTCAGAGGCATCCCCTTTGCTGCCCCTCCAAAGACTCTGGAAGACCCCCAACCTCATCCTGGCTGGGATGGTAAGATCCAGCTTTTGAATGCCTTTGGTTTGGGGTTTTATTTTTGCTTCTCTCTCTTTAGTCTGTTATTGACAAGCCAAAGATGTTGTTGCCTGCTTTTACCTACTAAGCAGTGTCAAGAAAAAGCTCTTAGTCTCATGGTGGGTATGAGAGAATGTGTCTAAATGTTCCTAAGCAATTCAGGTAACCACATGAAGTAACAAAACCTAAGCATGGCATCTGCATCTCCCCTCGCCATGCCTCAGCTGTCCAGAGCTAGTTCACATGGGAAAGGGTCCCACTTTGTCACTCCCTCAGACCAGCTGCAGTAGCTGGGGAAGCTTTGCTGCCTCTGCACTGGACTCACAAAGGAGAGGATGGATGGACAGACAGCTTGCAACCAAAGGATGGAGTTGATGCCTCTAACTAGGACCTGCTGTCTTCCCTCTCTCCTCTCAGGAACACTGCAGGCAAAAAAATTCAAAAATCGCTGCATGCAGATGACGCTTACACAAACTGATGTCCGCGGAAGCGAGGACTGTCTCTATCTGAACATCTGGATTCCTCAAGGGAGGAGACAGGGTATGTGCTTGGCAGAGACCTGGGGAGGAGATTCTCAGTTGCCTTTTGTGGACAAATTACTCTGGAGCATCTCTCAGCAGCTCTGTTCCCATAAGTGGGCAACTGCAGGAGCACTGATTTTCAGAAGGAAAGGTGGGAGTCATGTCAGCCAATGTCCCTCAGCTACAGCCTGTTGGGAGTTTCAGCCCCTTCTACAGAGCATGGACTTTCTTGGCCATAGGCTCTCGCAAAGCATCATGTCTGTTCATGTCCAGGTGGAGCACAGCTCAGCGTGTGGGTATGGGGATGGATGGGCAGCACCTTCTAGCTATGTTGTGGCTCACACTGCTTTTCTTCCTCATCTCCCAGTCTCTACCAACATGCCAGTGATGATCTGGATCTACGGCGGCGCCTTCATTGTAGGAGGGAGCCAGGGAGCCAACTTCCTTAATAACTACCTCTATGATGGCGAGGAGATCGCCGTGCGGGGCAACGTGATTGTGGTGACCATCAACTACCGCTTGGGGCCCCTGGGATTCCTGAGCACCGGCGATGCAAACTTGCCAGGTACCATAGCTGCTCCCTCTTCAGGGGACTCTGTCACGGGTCCCCACCTTATCAGCTTTGCTGTGCCCTTGCTCAATGGTGGGTGCTCTCTGTTGCTCAGGGAACTACGGGCTGAAGGACCAGCACATGGCTATTGCCTGGGTGAAGAGGAATATCAAGGCCTTTGGGGGTGACCCAGAAAACATCACCATCTTTGGGGAATCAGCTGGTGCCACCAGTGTCTCCCTGCAGGTGTGTTGTCCTTGTCAGACCCCACCAGAGCCACTTCTCTTCTCTGTAAAGGGGAGAGGTGGTCCCCTTGGCACTCTGCTGCTTTCCTCCACACACACTGCCTGATTAACGTCCTCTCCTGCCCGGGGACAGCAATGCTCACCCTCTTCACTTTGTAGTCACTCTTTCTTCTTCAGTTTTATCAGCCCCACTGCTGCAGTTATGTGTCCTTGCTTTTGCGACCTCCGGTGAAATAGCATTTACGTGCCATATCCCCCTACTCTGCTCCTCTTCTCACCATATCACCTTTTAACTTTAACTGCTGAGACTGTTAAACAGCACGAGAGCTGGCAGCTTCCCCGGGCCTGGTGCACAAGCTGTGAGGGGATCGGGTTGGGTCTGGCAGGCGATGGTCTCTTCAGGATTTTGTACCTGAAACCCCTTTGTTTCTATTTTGCACCACAGACATTGTCCCCAAAGAACAAGGGCCTGTTCAAGAGAGCCATCAGCCAGAGCGGTGTCGGTCTCTGCAGCTGGGCCATCCAGAGGAACCCACTCACCTGGGCTAAAAAGGTAACGTGCACGTCTTGCTTGAGGGAATGGAAAACAAAGAAAGGGATTCCCTAGAGAAGAGCATAGCTAGCAAGGGATTCGGTGGGAGCCATGCTGCCAAATGCAGAGCTCTGGAAACATGCTGCTTTGACATTAAAACTAACCTCTGCCCCCCTGAAGCTGGTAATGAAGCCTGGCTTCGGAGGGTAATGCTGGGAGGTTTCTCTCTCTCTCCTCCTGCAGCTTGCGGAAAAAGTGGGCTGCCCCACAGACAACACCACTGCCTTGGCCAACTGCCTGCGCGTCTCCGACCCCAAAGCTGTGACGCTGGCCTACCACATGCAGCTGACCCACCTGCCCGGTAAGTCCCCCGGCCCGTGCTGCGGTCCCCCACCCACACAGGGCCCACCGTGCCTTTGACGGGACGCTGGGGTGATTGCCGGGAGTGTTGAAGCAGTGCTTGTGTCCTTCAGAAAGGGGACAACAATGACAGATCTCGCAGTTGCCCTTCTGCCGGCAGGTGCACATTGCGCTGAATGAATGCTGTTCATCGTGCAGTGGCAGGGGTGGCAGAGGAATTATTCAAGGGGTATGCCTTGGCTCCGAAACAGCTGCTTGGGCTTTCTGTTCTATGAAAGCAGCAAGAGCAATTCCAGAACACAGCTTACAAACAAAAAAATAATTGACCAGAACCCTGCTATTTTCATTTGAGTCGCTGGGTGGAGTGTAGGGCTCTCACAGCAGTTAGGGAATGCTTCTGCTCTTGCTGCCTGTGAGAATTTCTTTTCCAAGAAGACTCTCCTCCGCTTGCTCTCCTCATGCTCCTAGTAAATAGCCCCAGTATTTAGCCTTGCTCAGGACAGAGAGTGGCCAAGCCACTGCTGTGCAGCTGCACTGGCTGGAGCCGGCTGTCCTGGCAATGAGTGAGCACAGCCAGATGGGGTGGGGAGAACTTCTGCTCTTCCCTACCTTTGGCTGGGCTTTTTGGGAAGGGGCTGGGGGAAGGAGGAGAGGAATTGTTGATGTTACCTGCCGGTACTTGGCTGGCAGATCTTTTGTTCCTCTCCCCCGCCTACAGGCATGAGGCTTACTGAACGTGATCCTGTGGTCACGCTGAAGTCACCACCCAAGCTCTCATTCACCTCAGCCTATTCCTTCCACAGCTCCTTGAGCCACGGGATATGCCAGGCCACACTTCTGTCTTTTCTCAGCTCCTAACAGACTCTGGTTTTGTCTCCTGCTGCAGCTCCCCTAGTTCTCACAATTGTCCTCGCTCCTGTCGTCGATGGAGACTTCCTCCCAGACATGCCAGAGAACCTCTTTGCCAACACTGCTGACATTGACTACATTGCTGGGGTCAATAACATGGATGGACACATCTTTGCTGGCATTGATTTACCTGCTATCAACCGCCCATTTGTGAAAATCACTGCGTAAGTGAAGGATGCTCTTAAAACCCTTAACAGCAGGAACCTTATCTTTAACGTAGCCCCCAAACTCCAAGGACTTAGACCTGGGTGGACAGGACACTACCTTCAAAACAGGATGTCGCTCCAAGCCAGGGTGCCTAGGGCATACGTTGCCCAGTCCAGAGCCTTCAAGAGAAAGGACCAGCTAGTGGGGAAGCCTCCTCATATACCTTTAAGGTGTTCCTGAACTCAGCACCAGTGATAGGCTTGGCAGCTCTGATGCTCTCTGTCCAGAGCAGGTACATGCCAGACATGCTGGGCGCCTGCCCTGTAAGACTCCCCTTTGCGGACAAAAGGAGCTTGTGGCCAATTTGGCCAGGAAGCACATGCCCGCCATCTAAGACCTGGAATGAAATCACTGGTTTTTACTCCACCAAACTGTTGCTAACCAGAGGGTTGGATGTGAACGTCAACGGGAGCTGGGATCCATTTCCATGAGCCCTGCCCCACTTGAAACTGCCAGTCTGTAGTTAGTTGATACTACTTGTCTTTTCAGGGACGAGGTCTATAATTTGATCAAAGGACTTACCGTGGACAGAGGTGAGCCTGGAGCCAATGCGACATACAATCTCTACACGCAAGCGTGGGGCGACAACCCGGACCAGGAGGTCATGAAGCAGACAGTGGTGGAACTGGCTACTGACTACATCTTCCTTGTTCCCACACAGTGGGCACTGAATCTGCATGTGCAGAATGCCCGGTGAGCAGCTCAGCCCTGGCAGGAGCCCAAAGCCTGCCTGAGGGCCGAAATGCTGCGTTTCCAGCACAGGGGGCTGAGGAGCACGTTAAGAGGGCTGAACATGAAGGAGGCAGGCTTTTTGGTACTGAGTACACACTTACACATGGCTCATACAAACACTATTTCTCTAATGCTGCAAGGGAGTCATGCTAGGAACTTGTTTTGAATTCCCACTGAAACAAGTTTTTGCTTCTTAAAACCAGCAGACTTCATCCTGGCAATGTTTGATGCCATGAGACGTGGCAGTTGGATGATATAAGGGTTAGGGTGAGAATCAGAAATGGGAGATAAAAATTACCAGATAGAAGGATGTTTTCTCCTGAGAGCACCTCTTAGATGCATGTGAGCATCTTCCAAGGCTGAATCTCTGGCTCTGCCGGTATTTGGAGCGTGGTTATGAATCTGCACCCCTTTTTCTGCTCTCCACTTGCAGCTGCTTAGCAAGTCTATTTTATTTCTCCAGGAATAACTACGTGTTCTCCCAGCCATCCCGAATGCCCTTGTACCCAAGCTGGGTAGGGGCAGACCATGCTGATGACCTGCAGTACGTGTTTGGGAAACCCTTTGCCACCCCCCTGGGCTACCTGCCCAAGCACAGGACTGTCTCAGGTGCCATGATTGCTTACTGGACCAATTTTGCCAGGACAGGGTGAGTGATTCCGGTTCCATATTTGGGGCTTGCTGCAGCACTTCAACCTGCTGCTTTTGCCTATTAACTTCTCAGGAGCAATTCCCAAAAGCAGTGTCCTCTGTTTGTACTTCTGTTGTGAGCCTGGCTCTGTGTCTCCCAGTGGTGGAGTTTGCTCTGGGTCCTCCTCATCCAGAGAACACCTGGGGACAGCAGAAGCATTTTCAGAACTTGTGAACTCTGCTTAAACTTAATGATGAGGTTTGTTTCTGAATCCTGATGTTCAGACAGGAGTTAAGTCCCTGTTTGCAGCCCGGGACGATGCTAGCAGGGACCAAGGGAGGAGACTGCAGGTCGGCAAGTCGCTCCTAGCAGGCAGAATTGCTTTTGCTTGTCCCAGTGTCACACTCTCTCTTTGCACTCACTCAAAGCCTCACTTGAGCAGGCGGGGTCCCTGCCAAACACCACAAACCTTGCTGCATCCACAAGCTGCCCTGGTGAAACTGAACTTCTCAGTCTCCTTTTTCCCCAGTGATCCCAACAAAGGGCATTCAGAGGTTCCTGTTAACTGGCCACCCTACACCGCTGAAGGCGGTTACTACCTGGACATCAACAGCAAGATAAACCGGGACTCCGTGAAGCAGAATCTGAAACACCGGTACGTGAACTTCTGGAACTCGGTATATCGGAGTCTGCCGCAGGTTGCCAACATCTCCCTGACCGAGGAACTGCTGTGAAGCTATGAAAAAACACCTTTTAAAGATAGGCCAAATTCATTAAATGCTTGCTTTTAACTGAGCGATTCTGACTTCTCCATGTCTTTGCCGTGACGGGATTTTCTCCGTAACATTAAGGTTGGGCAGCAAGTGACACCCAGTCACTGGGCAAAGCGTGTTCCCCTGGCCCATGGGACAGCAACATCCCGGGAAAGCGGCTAACAGCGGAGCGGCGGCTCGGCCAGCTCTGCCAGCCGCTTGGCTGGAGGTTTGCTTTGCCTTGTTGCCTGCGTGACCCCCGGCAGGACAGGCCCAATCCCAACCTGTCCTCTGGATATCCCCACGTTACCGTCAACACCCACGCTAATAACAAACAGCTCTTAGGTAATTAGAGTTGTAATATATGCACGCAAGCCAGCTGGTGAACTGTTGCCATACGGGCACAGAAATCAGCTCAGGAACTTGAAGGGGAAAATAAACCCGGGGGGAGGCCATTCCGCACTGGTTCATGGGCACAAGTCCCTGCTTGGCAGAGGCCAGGCCGAGCTGGGGAGCTCCAGCTCGGAGCCCGGGCTGGAAGGGGAGCACGAGTGCCCGCCGGCCTCCACCTCCGCACCCACGCCGAGCCCCGGGCCCCGGGCCCGGCCCGGCCCCGCGCCGCCGCT